AATGGTCATCTGCAGGGATGAAAAATACTCATTTGCCGTCCCAAATGTGCCTTGTGAAGCTAGCAATTTCGGAGGGAAATTTCCACGGGCGACAATCTCATTCATATTGAATGTGATAGGCACTGGGTGGCTGATCGGGCGCGCTGGTCGAGGAGGAGAGATTGGGGGCTAGCGGCCTTGCGGTCGGAGATATCAACGAGTAAAACGAACCGAAGAGGAGAGTTGCCGGGTAGATAGCGAGGGAAATGGCAGGTAAGTGAGCGGCACGATTTAGGCAAGCCGTCCTGCGAGGGAGAGATTCGGTTGCGAAGGGCATAGTTCTGGGAGGTTCTCGATTCTATCAAGCAGGCGGTAAACAGAGAGTCTTGCTCAATCGTAGGCGGCAATCGGTTGAGTCTTCAAATCCTCCCCACTCCCTGCTCCAGGCCCAATCTTTGTCTTTGCTGGCCAAGTTGAATATTTTTGGATGCGATGAAAATGACGTCGGTACGACGAGAACCTTGACAGCGCTAGCCGGAAATGGGTATCATGTGACAGGCACAGATTACGAATTATGTAATCGAATATTACTAGTCGTATCCTTGCTTATATAAGCTAACTGGGCCCCAAATTCGACATCAATCCATCCCTCTCAGCACACAGTTTGAGGATGCGCGGCTTTCATCCATGTTGCTGCATGGAACACAGCCAAATATGCGTTGCATTGTTAGGAGACCTAGCTCCAGGAACCCTAAGGTTGTCCTATTGCGAATTTTCATGGGAGGAACCTCAATTTGTTGCGCTTTGGTAGCCTGGCCCCCAACGAGGTCAGTGCTGAGGGGAGGTCTTTCGCCCACAGCTTGGATCTGATCGAAGGCTAATGACTCCCAAAGCGCGAACGTTGTTGTTGCAGCCTTGTGCCAATAAACCACATGATCTGAGAGGAGCATTGCTATGCCCATAGGCATCAATGAGGCGATGCTCCGATGAAAATGCCGGAACAGTATCAGTGGGATTTTAAAACAAATCATGGAGCCCAGTTATCCCCCTGGCAAAGACTCGGCAGCAAATCCCTGCTACGCAGGTACTATTATGCAAGCTAGCCCCTTCCGGGTTCCCTCTGAACAACTGATGCCATTGCCTGGAGCGTACCGAATGGATCGCCCGTTGACAAAGATTGTGATTACCTGTGATCGGTTACATATGCTGTCCCATTTCGTGGGTCTTTCTTGCCTTCCGTGCAGTTCAAAAGGAGTCCTCGCCTGATGAACCAACCTACTTGTCTTATTTATCATTTGCTTGCAATGTCCCACAAGACTGCCTGAACTCGGCGTACTACGGATCATTATGGTTGATTTTTGAGTGTAGGTAAAATGCTGAATTCGATGCGCGCGTAAAATGTTTCTGCTCCAGTTCCTGCTGACGAAAAGCAACCCTCTCCGCCAGGTAATTAGGTTGACAATACGTATTCTATTCACCTACTTGAATACACCACCTATCCGCTACTTTGTTGCCAGGGTAGCACATAGCGCCAACAGATCACCCAATGCCAATCGATTTGGTTGTGCAGAGGATCCAGGTTTGATGCTTTTGGGCAGGTCACTGGTGTTTAATTCTATTTCTGATCTGTTTACCTCGTACACATGCTCCTAAAGGCTGCCTTTATTTCTCAACAACTTGTTAACCCCTTCTCGCAACAAAAGAAGTCGGCTTACCTTGGCTGTCGTTGACGTCGTTTTCGAAAGCCAACAAAAGCTGTGTTATACCGGATGTGTCACGCGACAGAATACGTCCGAAGCCGCAGCGAAATTATACATGGCTTGTAAACTCCTTCCTCATGGGCATCTGTGTGCTCTGACGCAATTTTCTTCGTCTAGAACTATTTTTGTCCAGTGCGTGTTCCATGGCAGACCAAAGTTCGACAGCGCACCTGTCATCGATATACTTGCTGTTATTATAGCCCAGCATCGCCTAACAGCTGGACCTGAAACTCATAAACCGTTTTAGACTCCCTGCGGAGCACTCAGCGCAAAACGGTGATTTTCCGCAAATGAATCCCAAGCCTTTTTGCTCCCAAGGCTTCGGGTGGCGCTTGTGGGAAAATCATCGGACAAAAGACCACTCAAAAGCCTCCTTGCATCAGCTGCTGACCGCTGACCATAATTAGTGAACATTTTATTTCTTCTAAAATGCCCTGTAACGCCACCAAGAATTATGGACAAATCAGCCTTATTTCGAGAAAATGCATTGCCTGTCGAAAAAAGTCTACACTAACCGTGGTTCCCCGCAATGGTTTTGACTTGCAGGACGACCCAAATTCCACATTGGAATCTGTAAGGCGCACGGATCATTGTCACTTGCTGGGTTGTTAAATGAAAGAAAAAGCAAATATGGGGCAAAACAGCATCGATTAACTCAAAAGTACATAACTACATAAGTGCCGCATGGTACCAACTAGTTCTTGAGCTTTCCAAGCAGATACACCCCTTAATTCAAGAACACTTTTGAACACTCAAAGCTCCTGCTCTTGATAACCTGCCTGGGCCGAAGAAGTCAACCTTGCAACCAAGATCTTCCTTCTCGTCTTATACTTGCGTCCTTTATCCCATATTTGACCACACCGAGAACTTTACTCCAGCCCGTTCAATGCCTTCCGAAGGCGTCCCGAAGTGCCAGCGGTGTCGGAGAGATCATAAGAAGGTTTGACTTCTTGATGATTACTTGAAAATCTCTAATGTCTTGCTAGTGTTCCCCTGAGAATAGACCTTGGCCGGGGCCAAAGTGTGACCGCTGCGAAAACTATGGATATGAATGCTCTGAGAATATGATGGCCCGGCGGTCATCACAAAAAGACATCGACCCGGCACGAGCGGCAGGTCGTTTGCTAGAAAGCATGCCACATGGAAAATTCTATTACCAGCCCACCGTGGCTCAAGCGTTGGCAATGCAGCAACGACCGCAGGCACCAATTACTCTTTCGAAGCAGACATATTCCCCGTCTCCGTGGGTGGGATTGTTCGAGTACCTAAGGAACATCGATTGGCTCAATACCAAGTGTTTCCGGATTGGGTCTGACCCATTCACCGCCATGTTCCGATCCCCTAGCTGCCTGGTACCGGATATTTCAGATACTCCACTTGGAAGGCGGCAGATGTATCTCGAGATTTTCTCACAGCATCAGAGGTTGATGCAAAATGCGTCCTTGTCAACGGGTGCGTCACTGGAGGCATCAATAAATTTTCTTGTCACACAACTACAAAGACAGCATCCCCGGATTGCGTTGGGCGTATAGTTTTGAAGAACTGTCAGGAATATGTGCCAGCCACATTCGCTACGGCTCATATTGGCAAGTCCTTAGAACTTCACTCCAAACGGACGAGATTTTGTTGATCGATCCAAATTATTCTTTTGATACCGAATTCCCCCAAAATCACATTCGACAGTGCAAAACAAAATCTGGCTTTCCCCAAGATCTGGGCCTTCGACAGTTTTGTCAGAAACTCTCCGGTCTTAGCCAGATGATTTCAGACCTAGCGCGAACAGATCCTAACTCTGAAGAGCGTGCATTTTTAGCGGTGAAGATTCCAGACAGACTCGAGGAAGTATTGGGCCCTCGATTATCTCTATACTCGGGGCTAGGGCGGGTGTGCGCCTCGTCAATTTTCCCGATGGATATCCTAGCGAGTTCGCCCATGGCGACGACCGATGCGGATGTATATTCACAAAGCGATTCGGCAGGAGCCGACTCAGATGACGGATGCCCGCTAGGAGATAGGGCTTACCAAGCCATTCTCGGGAGTGACTATTTTAGTGAAAATGCCATTTGGGGTCCGTGACAAAGAATTGACGATTGTGCGGAACTACGTTAACAATACTGTTGTTGCACTGTGCTTTCATCATTCATTTTGGGTATCCTGCAGCCGGAATGCGGAATTCCACATCATCACTAGTGTTTATTATCATGAAGCGGTGCATGGGTTTCTTTCTTTCTTTTAGGCCCGAAGAATACTCTCGCATTGTCATGGACTTTGGTTTTACCTTTACAGGCGGTTAGTAATCAGTCCGTGTTGAAGATTTACTCGTCAATCAAGACATGTCATATTTTAGTGCTGCGATGCTGCACTATGTGATTGATGCGATGCATAAGCGGCGAGATCTATGTATTCGCCCCGGAGATGTGGCAATACTTGGGTTGCTTATTCCCAAATACACTTCACGGAAGGGCTTTTTTGATAACTAATAGCCGCCGAGCCCGTTTTGGGCACGGACGGAGCTCGATATGTGATTTGCGCCGAGATCGCTATCTGACAGGTTCCCCGGGGATCTGGATTCTGGTTCGGGGGTTAGCGATAGTTGCCAATCAGATGCTGCCACTGAAGATGTTTGGCATTTTGACTGCTGGAATGCGAATAGGATTCCAGTTTCCCTATAAGCCGAAAGCGGATAGCAGTTGGTCCCATGGACTACCCCCAAGAAAGAAAGATGGGAGTGACGCTGGAGGTCCTCATAGGTGTCCCATGGCTGCGACCAGCGGAAAGTGACCATCCTCTGATAGTGGTACATACCCGTTTCTCCATCATCCTTCCATGTGGTTATTCAGGATCTTCAGATCCAAATGTTCTGACAGCACACGTCAACTCAAAATGAAAGAAGGGCTTCAAGCCCAGGGCAACGCTCACTTGCGCCCGCTTTCGTCACCGGTCTATGTGACTTTCTATTGCCGAAAAGCTTATTTCTTGATGGCTCCCTGATTCAGGATGACCTCAATGTCCCGAGCGCACTTTTTTGGAGTATCATGAATAGGAGTACTTGTAAAGTTAAGTTGGTTGTACAGAGGCTTTTTCAACCGGGCAAATTACTTTCTGCTCAGGGGCCACCGTTGTTAGAACACCGTATGTACCCCCTCTATACTACATTTGTTAGATCCCTGAGTTGTCGTGGATTATAATACTCCCAATTATACGGTATACACACCTCTTACGTTAGGTGTTGGGGGTCCAAATCTGTGTCACTCACCGCCACAGGGTAGGCATGTTCGCGTGTACTTGGTATATGTCTGCGGTTCCAAATTGCGGAGTGCAGAAGAGTATGCACTTTCTTTTGTTGCAGATACATGTGGCCTTATTCTTCCCAACCGGGCCCCGATGAATCAGTGGCAATTTAACATTCTATGTTGCCGATTCACTATTTTTTCGCACTTATTTGAGATGCATGCGTTTTCGACATACAGATTCTGGGCGTTCTTCAGTGGCTGGCAGCCCGGGTCAGGCTTGCAGATTGTTGAAGAATCTGCTCAAAGCTCACGTAGAAACCGAAAAAGGCGGAAATTCTCCCTCTTGCCTCCCTGGCAAGGCTTGGCAGGGTCAAAGCGGTCTCACTGTTTCATTGCCTTGCGAGGGCGAACCATCTGCCCTTTGCCACGGCATTTCACACTGGTCCGCAAGAAGAGGCAATGGACAGGACATGGTCAGGAGCAGAAGCGCCAAACTGACGCCCCAGATTTCTTCATGAGCGAAAACTAAACTGTACCGGCCCGGATTGACTTCCGGAACCAGACATCTCTCGAGTCTCTCTCCTCCGACGTTTGTAGCTTTGACCCCCTCCGTTGGTTCCCTTTGAAATCATGTGTGGGTCGAGTACATGGCCTGACCGCGGCCAGTCCCACCACTTGCTTTGATATTCTCGGGGATCTTCGGTAATACAGGGAAGTTCATGAACAAAGAAAGGCAGAAAAACGGTCATGCTTCGAGGTATCGGGAGCGGGAGAGGACTCGGTCGATCCTTTCCAGAGTTTGCGTCCCATCCCGCTGATCTATTAGGCCGGCATAGGAGCTCTTCGTTGTAGGATTTGTATTTTCTCTGTTGGACAGAGGACACAGATGTCGTCGGGAGTTATTGCGTTGCTTCCTTCCTTCTCTCTTTTTTTTTTTTTTTTTCGTTGCTGTCCTGGCCTGCATATGTATGTACCGGCTTGTTGGATGAGTGCATTAGCAACCCCTAGCATCGATGATTCCCGGTATAAGCCACATCGGAATTGCAAGATATGTGCTTGCATTCTCGAAATTCCAGAGGCTAGCGTTAATCCTTATTTCCTTCCCTGGAATTCTGCAAGAAACAAAACATATTGTTAGCACGTTTCGATTCATAAGGTTGACATGGGTGACCTACGAGATACTTTCTACCGTGGCCCAGTCAAATATTGAACTTGTATCATCCTGATACATGATTTGATCATTCAAATGGAGCAAGGGCGCCGAACAATACGCGGCTTCACTGCATTTTCCGTGAAGCTTGACTTCTTCATTGCAGAAAAACCAAAGACGAGAAAAAGAAAACATCATCGACCCGACAGCCTGGGAATGAGAAACAGGATGACAGTTCCCCGGGCCAATCAAAGAGACGTTGCTAAGCCCAAATGCACGCAATCGTCGGGGAAGCATGATCTGAATTCCGGCAGCCTGATAATGGGGCCTGAAACAAATTATGCACACTTGTTTTCAACAAACTCTCTGACCCCCAAGCGCTCCGGGGAGAGAGCTCGCGCGCGCATACACTTAGGACTGAAGATCTTTCCTGACAAACCAACGGTCGGCTAATAACATTGTATCTGAGCGGATTTTGCTTGGAGGGCTTCGGCAAGTGACATGGCTTTGACATCATGCCAGGGATACACGCCCAAGAACTAGATGTATCACTTTATTGTTTGAGAAGATGTGCCCCGAACGTACGTTCTTATATCGAGAGTATATGAGCACAAGCAGTGGGAATGGACGCATCAGTATGACCTCGTCTCCTGGTTTGCAGAGCCTCATTGTACTAAGATAGAGGAGAAGAAAGTCGTGCCAAGAATTGCATAATAGCAAGCATACAACTGAGATCATAGATGACAGGCTCCAGCCTAGTCATGATCCGTGAATGCATGATCGGAGCCACGATCGTATTAAAAGAAAGCACTGAAACCCGCGCTTTTTCTGAAGCCACTCTTCGACCGCGGCGAATTAAAAGCGCATATGATCCTTGAACTTACGAGGCCTTCGCTCTCATAGCATTCTTAGCCGTGTTGCCAGGCACACCACTGGCTGTTTCTAGCGCGTCGACAATTTCCTTTCCAAGGAAATAGGTTGCTAAGCTTGGAAAGACGATCCAGAACCCACTAATCGGAGCATTAGATACTAGATTTCCGGAGCCAATCGTATCTTGCACTCTAGGGGGCCAAGGGGACCTACTTCGGAATAATCCATAAAAATATCAATGCAGCAAGGCTATTGTGCCCAACGCTTTTGAACCCGGAGTATGCTTCATTCAGGCCTTCGTTCACCATTAGAGTTAGAGACAAACTCACAAAGTGAAATAATGAGAATTGAAGCCAATACTCCTGTGAAGATAGGGGCATCCTCATCATCCCCGGCCGTACGTGGGGTAGAAAAAGCACCCACCATAGAGTATGGTTTTGCTGAGCGTCATGACGCTGGCACTAAACACAACCAATAGGGAAAAAGCCCCCGTCCTTCCGTCGACGTACTTTCTGTCAAACAAGAGCAAGCGTATCCCCCGTTCAGGCGCCTTTGGTTTTCCGCGGGGCCCGATAGCTTTCCCGTGCGCCCACACCGTCCACAAATAAAAAAGGTAGCAAATTGTCTCGAGGACATTCAGAGACGATTGGGCAGAAGTAAATCCGTTTCGAGCGTGGTATGCAGGCCAGCCGTATATGTAATCAACCGTTCCATAGAGCGCATACGGACTCCAGATGGCGTGCAGTGCACCACCAGGCATGCTATACGGCCTCAGAAGAACATAGCCAGTATCCCAGATGACAAATGGGATTGAGCCTAGTAACCATAAAATGACCAACTTCGACGGGATGTGAGCCCAATGGCCCCGGGGAGCCGGAGAATGTTCCCGTGTCGAGATTGCTTGCTTCGACGCGAAGGTGGAAGTAACGGGAGGAGAGAATTCTTGGGGATGTTGTCGTGTAGTCACCATCGTGGCTTCAGTCTCGGTTTTCACAGTGAGATTGCACTGTGCTGGCGAGTCCGTTGCTATAACTCGGAGTCAGTTGAACTGAATGACGTAATAAATTCACTGACCAATACTCCGTAGTCGCTGTTCGGAGGAGAAATAGAGGTCGCTCATCGGCCGGTATCTATTTCGCAGGAAACGAAAACAGACACAGGCAGTTTTGATGCGGTTCAGTGTTGCATCGCATCCATCCCTGCGTGAGGTTTGATCCGACGGTTGAAACAGATGCACCACGTGATCATCTCCAAGCAAACTCGAGGACGCCAGTGATTGCATGGAAGCAAGATGTCAGGCATAGTTCTGCAGCGCCACAGCTTTCAACCAGTGCGTCTGACTTGAAGTTGAATTGATATGTTCCACATAGTACGACAAATCCACTCCTGTTCTGGAATAAAAATATATCAATTCCAGGTCAATTACCCCTAAAAGTACAGGAACAGCACTTCTTTTGAAGGATCTGATATTTGTCTGCTCCGTATGGGAGTTCCCTCCAAAACCAAGATGTAGCCCAGGAGGGTTTGAACTGTGCGCTAAATTCCATATGACCCGCACATCCCAAATGGCGTACGGCTGCTTCAGCACCCGGTATAGGCTTTCGGCATCAAGACGACGCCCATCACCATTCCCACACGATGAAGCTGAGCATCAGGCAAAAGCTGATCCAAAACACCTTTCTCTTGATGCAAACCCAATAGAAATCACTGTATACAGAAACATGCTGCATGTTGCTGGTATGAACTGCTTGCCAGCTTGGAATTTCCTGCTGGGCATATAGATGGACACTGGCTGGGTGGCGAGGACATCACTTGGATGAACTCGCCTTCGGCTCCGCGGTGCCAGGCCAGAGTTGGAGTAGGAAAAGTCATGAAATAGGACTGAAGAGTGATGCTCATAGACACACACTCAGCCCTGGATTGGGTGCATCGAGTACTCCGGGCCTTGTTAAACCATGTCATGACACCCCTGAACCAGCGCAGAGCCAGCCAACCGTTCTAAATTGTATATCAGTATCTCATTCTTGTTAGGTGTCGTGGCCTATTACACGATTTCTTTCCAAGGTTATATTAATCAAAGGCCAGTCCGAACATCTTGACAGGAAGCTTGTGCGGTGGCCTGTATTCAACCGTGGCGAGTAAGGTATTCGCGGCGCCATTGACCCAGTGGATTTGGCTGGGGTTTTGTGAGCTTGATTCATCAATCACTTTTGTGTCATCGACCGGATTGTCCCGTGTATGAGTATCAAACACAGCTCCATCTCATCGGCACCTGGTATTTTCCATAGCTTTGCTATGGTATCTTTCCTTTTTGGAACGAGATGGCGTCCTTTTAAAAACTGAGGCGGCAAGAAATCGCAAAATTATTAGGTCTTGTGAGCCTTTCCCTGTCTCTCGCAAGCTTCTAACTGCCTAAATTCCCATTCCCAAACCAGTTATGACCAAAGCCCGCATCTGGAAACAAAGCCTCCCATCCAGAATCTGGTGCAAGTTAATCGAATTCCACTCCCCTGGACGGCCCCGGCAGTCCCGCACGATCAGGTGGCGGTGTCAACCCGGTATCTTCCTTCGTCTTCAGCAAACTACTGCACATTTCCAAGCTATTCCTCGCCTCCTGCGCAACCTGCAACTCAACCGGAATGCCAGCGTCTACGGCCTCGGCCTGAACAAGTATCATGCTGAGAAACATGTGATTCTTCAAATTTGTCTCCCCATGCCGGATGCATCCCTCGGGCAACGAGATGAGGTCGCGGACAGCCTGCTCGAGGAACTCGCGGTGCTGGCGCGTCCGGTGCAGCGTGCCATTGAGGCGCTGGGCCTCGAGGTGCGTAAGTAGTTCAAGACTGATGGCCGTGGTAGCGCATCGGATGACCTCTCGAAAAGCCCCACCGCCAATTGCCATCAACTGGGCAAAGGTGTGGTCCCTTGGTTGCTGATTAAGTAGTGTATTGGGATCATGAACAGCATATCAAGTGGTCTAGCAGGTTTCTGTGGAAGGGGGTTGACCTATCGCCATTTTTCACCCGGCGACTGCAGGACTGCAAAGCATCGATCAATTCAGTGCTTAACGAGAGGACGGAGATCCTCGGTGGCATCCACGAATCCAAGGACGACTGTACAACGAATTCGAGAATAGTGTACCAGAGTCTGAGGCGCAGCTCGGCTTGTAGTACCGATATGGCCAGGAGATGTTTGGGGTCCCGGTGCAACCCCAGATACATGGCGCTATGAACAATTGACCCGATAGAGATCCAGATCGTATCCCCGCTGATCGAGAAGATCTGCCGGGCTAGAACACTCACGCAGTAGACGGCAGTCCCGAAATGACCAAACGGTCTTTTTCCAAGGGGCCCGAAAGCCAGGTCTCCGCCGCATAGATCCATTGCCGAGCCAAGTCGATACTGCAAAGTGCGGCGGCTCTCTCCGCATGGTCGTACAGACTTGAGCCAATGCCGATGACGAGAAGCACTTTGAGGCGTAAACTCGGTGCAACAGCATCGGGGTTGTCTCAAGGTCACTCGCCCTAGAAGGTCGGGAGGTGAAGTCGCCGAAATCTGCACGTGGTGGGTCGAAACTCTGCCTGGCCACTTAGAACCAGACAGATACATACGCTGATTCGAAAGCAGTCAAGTAAAGCTTGGCCATGGCATCAGCTATCTCACTGGAAAGGGGCGGAAACCTAGGCACGGAAGGCCTCTCGTGGGCCGGTAGGTCTTGAAGCTCTTCGTTCTATTCTTGCAGTCCCGGACGTAGCTGCCAGTTAGGGAGATCATGGCGGAGATTTCGGGTCCTTAAAATGAGCCTCATTTCGCTGTAACATGTAATGATGACCGTGAATTCATTTGAGGCGCCCATCCAACGACTCCGGTCCCAGTCCCCTGCTTATTCAAGACAGATTGCCATTCTTGGTTTCTTGCCAGTGACGGACGCTCCAAAGACACTGCGCTAGCCACTGATTGAAGCATTCGCTCCGTCGGGAGAACTCTCTCTGATTCGCGGTTCGCTTGCTGAAGATTCTTCTAGCCTTTGTATCCGATGCAGAAGATCACGAACAGACGGTCTTTCGTCCGAAGAATCTAGCGATGGGTGCTGTAGGTCACTGCGGCCAGCGCCCGCCGGTATCGAGACTGTCTAGGCTATCATTGCTACCGGCGTAGGGGGAGGCGAAGAGAGGAGTCTATTGGCGCTAACCCGACCTGAGTCCCTGTCCCCAACTCGAGCGGGCTTCGACAGCCGAGGGCTCTCGCTTTGGTGAGCGATGAACTGGCGCATGCGGCATGTGCTGGATGGTCCAGGAAGAGTATACGCATGGAGTCTTATGGCACACACGCTGTGCATACCGGGCATTGTGATCGCACCTGATCTTGCGTCGAATGGCATTCCCGACGTCGAGGCTGTGGCTGACTCTCCATGATGATACTGGCTCAAGCAAGACCAGATTTTGTCGTCCAGTTCCTCTTGGGCGTGGGAGTTGTAGGTAAGTGGTGGTCTTGAGGTCAGAGCTGCAGTTGACTCGGCCGAACACGGGCATATTACCTAATCAGGTAGTTAACTAGTTAACTCGCCCACTTGCGGTAATCACCACGACAAGCTACCATTTCACTCCCCGTTTCTCCAGGGAGACTCTATGAGAGTCTCCTGCACTCAACATGTTGTATATCACGGGTGATTTGTGCATCCTTTCTGACCAAATTCTGAATGCTAAGGCTAGTTTAGGTTTGGGCTGTTGATACTACCGGATCCTAGCCGTAGGGGAGCTCCTCTTCATATTATCACGAGGCTGAAGACGGCGATATAACGCTTGTGTGCCTAATACGTACTTGCTTGCTACTGTTAGACGGAGATATTATGGTGCATCCTCTTCAACTCTGTGAGAGAACCCTATACCTGTGGGCTATTGCCATCTTCTTAATATGGACGAAGCATTTGACCGTCAACTGGCGCATGAACGGAAACGAGCGGAGAGATCATGATTTAATCATGGGAACTGGACTTTGATTCGTCCTCAAGGCTTGTCCATTTCATCACGGCCGACCTTCCAGACAGGGAAAATGCCTGTCTCCACCTTGGCCGAAGTTGTCCAGCCGGAGGGAGTATTTAGCAAGAAGCGAGATATCACGGCGTGTTCAAACTTTCTTCAAGGGGCTTCTCCTACAGCATCTGTGAAAAATATCCCTCAAATTGGGCTTTCAACTCCCGTAGTGTTGCCAGAATGTCGAACAGCAACGGCCTCAAGTCATTATGGTCCAACACCGATCAGTGGCAGCAGATTGAAGAATCCACCGACCAAGTTCTTGCCGGGGCGAACGGCACAACTATATCACATTCCACCATGCGGGAGCTTGCCCGCGAGTGCACCTGCGATATTGCCCACGAAGCTGAAGGTAAGCTTATCTTGTATACGCTCGCCTCAGGGTTCATGTGGGCTCTCTTTTACTTCCCCGTGGGCTTTAAGAAGAACGCCAACGTCACGGGCCAGGGCCCCGAGCGCCGAACATTCATGCGGCTCCGCTTCTGGGCGTTTCTAATGTGGGTGTCCACGTTCGCGCACTTTTGTATCTCCTTTGCCAGCTCAGCCGATGACGGCGGCAATATTACCAACCGTTTTTCCTTCTTCTGCGGTGTCCTCCCGTCGCCGCATTAGGTGCCCCGTTTCTGGACCTTCCTGTACCGCGTCTCGCCGCTCTCGTATTACGTCTCAGCTGTCCCTTCGATAAGGCTTGCTAACATCGACGTGACCTGTGCGAGCAACGAGTTCACTACCTTCAACCCGCCCAACAACGGTCAGACTTGCGTTGAGTACATGGCTGAGCATATCTCGAAGGTGGGTTGGCATCTACGAGACTTGAATGCCACGAGCAATTGCAAGAATTGCAAAGTCAAGGAGGCGAATGTATATTTGGCCGCAATTCATGCGGACTATGACACCAGATGGCGCAACTTTGGCATCATGTGGGTGTACTCCGTACGTCGCGTTTGATATTTCTGCAGCACTGGTCTTGTACTGGTTTGCAAGGACGCCGAAATGCAAGAAGAAGCTAATTGGATAAATTTTCCATCCCCTCATTTTCTGTCTTTGTTTCGCTATTGATCCCGGGACAAGAGTCGTTCTAGCTTACGGAGTAGTCGAATATAAGTAGATCGTTCCAGCTTCCCACATATTGTGACCCCGTGCGGAGTACTGTTTGTTAGAACCACCTGAACGTAGGTGCTTCGCTGCATTTAACATGCTTCGATCGCTCGGTTGAATCTTATATCTAATCTAAACCATGAATATTCCAGAACTAGAAGTGGAAATCAACTATTCATCCCTGAGGACATTGCGGTGGACGAGCTCCTGCTGCCCTAGATGAGACCTTGCGAAGTGACTGGATGAAAAATTAGGCCTGGAGCCTGATGGAACCGGAAGTAATCCGGGATCTTACCTCCGAAGACACAAATAAAGAGCAAGCCCTCACACCAGAGAATTCTGGGGCATCAGGATTTTCCTTGAAGTAGATTCTCTGGCTCACAATGGAGGTTTCTACCAGAGCTATCGGGGGAGTGGGCTCCGCGGAAACTCCAACATTAGGACGGTGCCCAAGTCGCGTCAACGATTTTATACAAGTGTGTATACCGATCTGGACTTTTTCACACGAGGCGGCTGCCTTCAAGGCTTCAAGCTCCAACCGGGAATTAGCTAGTGACCGGGTAATATTCACCGCCAGGGGATAAAAAGCTCGTTATCTCCCAGAGGCCAGCATGGGCGAGTTAGGATGCTGGCAGGAAGGATTCTGTCATGTCGGATTGTCAGCACAACCCAACGTTACTGGCAACGTATAGTTAATCTGCCACCAGGGCCGAATCAGGGTCAGGCACTGTTGTATTGGCTGATCCGCCAACTATCCATGCTTGACAACTCGACGCCGCCGCCACATCCCGTATAGCTTCCATGGAGAATCATGGCCGACCCCGCCCTGGATGCGTTGCACCCCAGCGGGTACCTTGTTAGAGGGTCAGGATTCGTCCCAGTGCATTGAATTTTGGAGGAAGAGCCTTTTCCACCTTCACCCAAGATATCCCACCGTGTGTCAATTTCAGACCTCTTGTCGACGCTTTGCTTCCATTATCCCCTTCTCCGTCCTAGCCTCGAGGACTGAGTGACAAGAATCTTGGAGCGGCACAAGCATCCTCAAGCCTCCTTGGCGTGAATGCTTAAACGGCTTCGATGTGGGAATCGGATCCATTTGGCTCAAGGCCGGCCCCGCAGGAGATGCAACGGTGGCCGGGATAAACAATATCGTGAACCACGGCGTGGAAGCGTGCGGGAAGGCAAAGCGGCCAACTCTCGGGAAATTAACTTCCAGGAACCCGTCGAAACGACTCTCGTTTCTTCTCTTTTCGTCGAAGCGAGATGTAGCCGGTTACAATCTACGGAGCACTCCGGGCTGCTGCCCGTATAGCTCCTGGCGATGATCTTCGCTCCTTGCTTTTGGCCACTTACTGATTGGTGAAACGTCGCTTTGCTCGCGAGGCGCAAACAATCGCATGTAACCCATGTGAGGGGAAGCGGGACTCCAGTCTTCCTCCAGTCCTGGAGCGAGACGCTTCCATCGGCTTCAAACATGGCTTTCACGCCATATTGGCCAGTGGTTCCCTGCGAAATCAGGGGGATGCACAATGACTTCGATGCTGGACAAGGATTGTCTGGGAGGAAGAAATGAAAAGTTTTCGTGCAATGCTGCCCTCAAGCATTTGACGCCGGCTATCATGCCCTCAGCCTCTCTCCACAGTGCTGCTGATCAGCGGCCAATATGCTTCTAGAATGTCGGCTTTTATTTGATTTATGCTGCTGTGAGCCGAGCTGTGCCTTCGTTTCTATTCTGCAGATAATACGAGAGTTGATTTAAGGGCTCCGACACCCCCCTTTTTGAGACATGATCGCTCTCCGATCCTGATACCCCGGGTGCCCTTTTTACTCATAGGCTCTGTGGAGAGCTTTATTCTCCTGTTTTCTTCCTTCATCGCCCATGGTTGCCCTTAGTTTACGCGCCATTGGCGCTTGTCTGCTCAGCTTGCCCTTGATTGCCAATGGTGCCCCAGCTTCCACTATTTCCGGAGCCTTTGAAGTTGTCGAGCATCTCAACAACGTTCCCGAAACATGGCAGCAGGGCGCAGCTCCATCCCCCAATACTGTCCTCCGCCTTCGCCTAGCGATGCAGCACGACAAACTCGAAGAGTTTGAGCAACGGGTTATGGACATTTCCACCCCTGGGCATGAGACCTATGGCCAGCATATGAGCCGTGACGAAGTGAAAGCGTTTTTGCAGCCGCCTGCCCATGCATCCGATGCGGTCCTCGCGTGGTTGCGAGAAGGCGGTGTCTCGACAAAGTCAGTCCAGCTAGACTCAGACTGGGTTCATTTCAACATTCCTGTCGAACAGGCCGAAAAATTGCTCAACACCAAATTCCATTATTACCGCAACACAGTAAACCAGGCCCAGATTCTGCGAACTTTGGAATACTCTGTTCCCAAGAGCGTTGCTCCATACGTTCATATGATCCAGCCGACGACAAAATTCAGCGAGCCTAGACCGCAGTTCAATGGCGTCTTCGAAGAACACAACCTCCCTGCATTCAGAGCCGCAGAAGTGGATTGCAACAAAACGATCACCCCAGACTGCCTGCGAGACCTATACAAGATGGGAGACTTCCTTGCCGGTCCTGACCCGAGAAACAAGTTAGGTATTTCGGGATACCTCGAACAGTTTGCTAGAAAGGGTGACTTTGCCAAATTCCTCGACCTTTACGCCCCCAAACTCAAGGGCACCGAATTTGATGTTGTGTCCATCAAGGGAGGCCGAAACGACCAGAACTCTACTCTGAACAGTGTCGAGGCAAGCTTGGACGTGGACTATGCCATTGGCCTCTCCAATGCCAAGTCCGTCTACTACACGACTGCCGGTCGTGGACCACTGATCCCTGACTTGGATCAGCCGGACGCTGACGACAGCTCAAATGAGCCGTACTTGGACCAGCTTCACTATTTGTTGTCCCTGCCCGATCGCGAGCTCCCCTCGGTCCTCTCCACATCGTATGGAGAGAACGAGCAGAGCGTGCCAAAGAAGTACACTGATTCGGCATGCAACCTATTTGCCCGCCTGGGCGCCCGAGGTGTTTCGGTCATCTTCAGCAGTGGCGATACCGGTGTTGCTTCCGCCTGCCAGACCAATGATGGCAAGAACACGACCCGATTCCTCCCAATCTTCCCTGCTGCTTGCCCCTTCGTGACTTCAGTTGGCGCCACAACCAACATTAACCCAGAAAGAGCCATTTACTTCTCTTCCGGTGGTTTCTCTGACAGATACCGACGTCCATTTTACCAAGAACATGCTGTTTCGCATTATCTGCACAGGGAGCTTGGTGACCGTTGGAAAGGTTTGTATAATCCACGGGGACGTGGTTTCCCAGATGTGGCCGCTCAGGGATACAAGTTCGCCGTGGTCGACCACGACAAAATCCTTGGGGTATCCGGAACAAGGTGAGTCATCCACTGCCTCTCACCGTCCTTTCGGTGGCTTTGATAACTGTTGTGCTAACTGGCGTACTCAACTACAGTGCTTCCGCACCGGCTTTTGCCGCTATCGTCGCAAACCTCAATGCTGTGCGCTTAGCTCATGGCAAGCGGGTCCTTGGGTTCCTGAACCCATTCCTCTATTCTGTTGGACGCGTCGGTTTCACTGATATCGTGCACGGCGGTTCCACCGGATGTACGGGCAAGGACATGTACAGCGGCTTGCCAACCCCGATCGTTCCCTTCGCCAGCTGGAACGCTACTAGGGGCTGGGATCCAGTCACCGGGCTGGGCACACCCAACTTCCAGGTCCTCAAGAAGCTCGTGACGATAGTGTAGGGATGCAGCGCTTTGGTCACGAATGGCTCCTTCGTCGAGTGCAGAAGACGCCGATGTTAGGCACTGACTGCTTCCTTCAACCTGACATTAGCAACATTGTATATAGACGATGAAGTAGCTACCTTCAAAATCATTTATTTCCGATGCTCCCTTGCATCCTCAAGTGACCCATGTTGGAGATCCTCGTTGGGCGTTGAAGCCTGGGGCACCTTGGTTTTCGGCTTCGCGCATTCGTAGAAGAGCCTGCAGGGCGGGGTCACAGGATAGTCTGCCTGTCATGCCAGGGTTAGTTGTCAACCTCATCTCGATAAAACATCAACGCCCTTCCACATGCTCCGACAAGACACGCTGTATGACCGTTTTCGAGCTGTTACTCTGGCGATGTTGAGACGCGTCGTTCACTAACTAGTTAATAAGAGAGACCGTTCTTCATGTTGTCAACTCTCGATTGCTAGCGAGAAATTTCGCGCAGACCCCAGAAGATTCTGGCCGGATGCACCCTGTTGCACCACGCATGACGACAAAGCACTGAAAACATCCGGATCTTTGCCAGGGTGCGGAGGTTCAAAGCTCCAGGCCAAGTCAGACGCCACTTGACCTTGGCTGCAGATCGTCGCGGATGTTTTGAGACACTCGAGCATGCCCTCCAATGAAACCCTGCTGGACGAACGGAGCTCGCAGGAGACGTTGACATCAGTCGTCGAGCTTTGAACTATCGGCGCCATGTTGGAGATCGCCTTTGACATTTTCAATAGTCCGGTTGTACTGCTCCTCTGCGTGTCACAGTGCGCACTGCGCAGGGCCAGGTTCACAGACTTCTCGTCTCTCGAAGCCGGGGGTGAAGACCTGCCGGCCAAGATCGCAATGGTGAGTCTCGACTGCTTGGGCCGTTCATTTCGACGCATCATATGATACCCTTTTCTTCCTGGCTTGATCCCTGGTGGCTGCTCTGACAGCGGACTTTATTCAATTCTGGACGGCACCTACGGAGCACACTTGAGAGAAGCTCCTTCAGCTGCTCCGACGCTCGGGGGATTTTACATCGGGAAACGAGCGAGTAGCTACATAACTACGTCGATGACACCAAAGAGCCTTTTGGTTGCACCGTCCACTTGGGGGAGTGTAGCTCTGTTCTTTCCCAACTTTCTCCACATGGATCGGCACTGCCGATGTATATAAGTATATATATTCCGCAGTGCTGTCTCGATCTTCATCCTTGTTCCTTTAACCATGTCTGTTCGCGTCAGAAGCTATCATCTCTCTTAAACCGAAGGGCCGAGAGCTGCATAACTACAAGCTGGTAGTCTGCGTCCTTTGTTCTTGGGATAAACCTACATGCCGTTTTCAAAGTAGGGAGTACAGAGTAGTACTTTCTAATTTGTTGCAACATATAAATATCTCAATGCGGGCCTAAAGTTGTCGTTTTCCAATAACATTTCGCTGAAAATTTTCAGAGAAACCCGTTTGATTCCACAATGTGGTTGGGTTGGCTTTCCGTTGCGGTTGTGCTGGCCGCGAGGGCTACAGCTACGGAGCAGGTAAGGCATCTCGGCCACCATCGACAAGTCGACCTGGAACGATGCTCTTTTCACTGCTTCGGTCAAAAACAGAACATATGAACTCGGTTACTAACATGTCAAGTAATAGCCGAGCTGGGCATACTCGCCCCCATACTACCCGTCGCCTTGGGCTTCGGGTCAAGGCGAATGGGAGGACGCATATGACAAAGCAAGAACATTTGTTTCCCAATTGACACTCACGGAGAAAGTCAATCTTACCACCGGAGTAGGGTGTGTTTCCAGGCGGATCGTTTCGTTTATTAGATTCGGCATTTCACGCAGCTGATTCTCTGTAGATGGATGGAAGAAGCCTGTGTTGGCCAGGTTGGAGCCATCCCCCGAATGGGATTTCGTTCCCTATGTATGCAGGACGGGCCCCTTGGTATACGCTTTGGTATGTACCCTGCCCATGTAACTCACAGGTGTAGCTACTAACGCGAGCCAGCGGATTATGTCACTGCATTCCCGGCGGGTATCAATGTCGGTGCAACATGGAGCAAAGACCTCGCATATCTTCGTGGAAGAGCGATGGGCGCAGAGCAACGTGACAAAGGGGTTGATGTACAATTAGGACCCGCCATCGGGCCTTTAGGACGGTCTCCCGATGGAGGCCGTAATTGGGAAGGGTTTGGTCCTGATCCCGTATTGTCAGGGAATCTAGTCTCTCAAACGATCAAGGGAATTCAGGACGTCGGAGTTATCGCTTGTGTCAAGCATTTTATAGCGAACGAGCAGGAACGCTTTCGTCAAGCACCAGAAGCCCGAGGCTATGGGTTTAACATCTCTGAAAGCTCCAGCTCTAATGTCGACGATGTCACTATGCATGAACTATATCTCTGGTAAGTTTGTGTCCTATATTCACACCAGACGGGATTTGTTGAAACCAATTGTTGACCATGCGTAGGCCATTCGCCGATGCGGTTCGAGCTGGAGTGGGCGCTGTGATGTGCTCTTATAACCAAATCAACAATAGCTATGGGTGTTCAAATAGCTATACCCAGAATAAGCTCCTCAAAGGTGAGCTCGGATTCCAGGGCTTCATTATGAGTGATTGGCAAGCACATCATAGTGGCGTTGGGGATGCCCTTGCTGGCTTGGATATGTCAATGCCAGGTGACACACTTTTCCTGACGGGGAGGTCATATTGGGGCCCTAACTTAACCATTGCTGTCACGAATGGAACTATTCCCCAATGGAGAGTGGACGATATGGCTGTTCGGATCATGGCAGCTTATTACAAGGTCCACCGTGATAGATCTCAAGTCCCGATCAACTTCAACTCTTGGACACGCAACGAGTTTGGATATTTGCATGCTGGAGTTCAGGAGGGCTACGGCAGGGTGAATGAAAAGATCAACGTACGCGGTAGACACGCCGTCGTCGCCCGGAAAGTTGCAAGCGCCAGCACGGTTCTTCTCAAGAACAACGGAGTTCTTCCACTAAATGGTAAGGAGGATTTCACTGCCATTGTTGGAGAGGATGCAGGCCCCAATCTGTGGGGACCGAATAGCTGTCCCGACCGAGGCTGTGCCAACGGAACTCTTGCAATGGGCTGGGGCAGCGGTACCGCCGATTTTCCATACCTTGTGACACCGGCACAGGCTATTGAAAGCGAGATTGCATTGAAAGGAGTCGGGAATGTAATGTCAGTATTCGACAATTACGCAACTTCTCAGATCAAATCGGTTGTTTCCCAGTCTACGGTTTCGCTTGTTTTCGTGAACGCGGGCTCTGGAGAAGGCTACATCAGTGTTGATGGAAACGAGGGCGACAGGAAGAATTTGACCCTTTGGAAAAACGGAGACGAGCTGGTTGAGACAGTTGCCTCCTTGTGCAACAATACCATCGTTGTTATGCACACAGCCGGCCCCGTTTTGGTGGACAAGTGGTACGATCATCCAAATGTCACCGCTATTTTGTGGGCCGGGCTTCCTGGGCAAGAGAGCGGCAACGCATTGGCGGACGTGATTTATGGCCGTGTTAATCCAGGTGCCAAATCCCCGTTTACCTGGGGCAAAACTGCGGAAGACTATGGCGTTAGCATTCTCAAGGCCCCAAACGCGGGTACGAAAGCTCCACAAGTTGATTTCAAGGAAGGTATTTTCATCGACTATCGACGATTCGATAAGATGAACACAGAACCGATTTATGAGTTTGGTTTCGGTTTGAGTTACACGACTTTCGCATTTTCTGATATCAGAATCGAAAGTCTGCAGGCCGAACCATATGCTCCCACAGAGGGTTATACGACACCGGCCCCAAATTTTGGAAACTCGTCCGACGAGTTACAGTTCCCTAGCGGTTTCTCCCAGGTTCGCTTATATATCTATCCTTGGCTCAATTCGACCAATCTGAAGGAAGCTTCCATGGACCCTGAGTACGGACTACCGACAGAAGAGTATGTGCCTCCGGGAGCTACAGATGGAAGATCACAGCCTCTTCTCGCAGCGGGAGGCGGCCCTGGAGGCAACCCGGGTCTATATGAGGAACTCTTCAAAGTATCAGTTACCATCACCAATACTGGGAAGAAAACAGGAGATGAAGTGCCACAGTTGGTAAGAAACTTGCCCATTCCTGAACGTCCTTTTTTCCACAAGTTGGGCTAAACTCTTTATGATAACCACTAGTATGTTTCTCTTGGAGGGCCAAATGATGCCAAGGTTGTTCTTCGCGGGTTCGATCGCATCACTCTCCGCCCGGGCCAGAGCACTGTATGGAGAACAAGCTTGACTCGACGTGATATCTCCAACTGGGATCCTGTGGCACAGAATTGGGTGGTGACGGCGCATCCCAAGACGGTATACGTGGGCAACTCGTCAAGGAACTTGTTATTATCAGCTCCTTTGACCTCATCTTCGGCGAGGCTGTGAGGCGTCAATTTGGGGAGATTCGAAATGTTGTATGATCACTTGCATTTTTTGCGTTTCATAATACGACTCGGGAGATAGTCCCAGAAGATATTTGAGCATTCTTGAAGCCAGCAATGAACTCGCTTTGATAGTTTTGTGAGCCATGCAAGAAGCTGCTGATCAACTGAATCGTCACATCCCCTGCGCGACCAATAGCCGAATCATCGGCCCCAGGGAGATGAGAGTGACGCCGCATGTAACTCCAGAGTTGCTCGCATCGCATGTATGAGCGTCCACACTTCAATAGACTCCAGCACCCGCGCAACTCCGCGGTTACCAGGCCGGCCTTCGCGGTTCGTTCCGGCACATCTCGCCCCTTTTGCGATATCACACGCCAAGCCGCCAAGTGACGCGGGAGCCCTTGTCGGGATGAGAGTAGCATCCAGCAGACTGCACGGCCCGTCTCCTCACGGCCGCTTGCGAGAAGAAGGGCCTCGTGGAGAAAGGATGGTGATCCCCAGGGCCAATTCTGCAATGGCCTTGATGAGATCTCCTCCGTAGATTATTAAGCTCTGACGGTTCCACCGGGCAAGGGCTAAGAGCGACTTTTTGAGTTGGCCACTGGCAATTCCATCCAGCGACCTTTCTTGCTTCCTCCCAGGCTTCGGGCCTTGATGTTAAACAGTATCGGATCACGAATAATGCGACGGCTGCGAAATAGCGCAATATGACCTCGACCCGTCCTGAACCTCGACACGCCGACATACAACACCTCGATGGCGCCCCGGACGAACGGATTTCTCTGAGCCCAGGCAGCGCAAGAGATCAGCCACAGCAGAGCCATTCGATCGATGAATCCGCGGCTTTGGAGCAAAATGCGGCCGCTGCGTCATATGCCGATGACGGTGCGGCTGAGTTGAGAGGGGATGAGCCGGCTGGGATGCAGGATGGAGGGGACAAAGACGACGTGAGCCGCCCATGGAGCGAATTGAAGACGAAAGCAGGGAAGGAGAGGAAGAGGCTTCCTCTGGCCTGTATTGTGTGTCGCAGAAAGAAGATCCGGTGCTCTGGAGAGAAACCGGCGTGCAAGCATTGTTTTCGCTCGAGGATACCGTGCGTGTATAAGGTCACGACGAGAAAGGCAGCGCCTAGGACGGATTACATGGCGATGCTGGATAAGAGGCTGAAGAGGATGGAGGAGAGAGTCATCAAGATTATACCAAAGGATGTTGCAAGGGATATGGCGACGATTGGGCGGGCGGCCGTGAAGCCTCCCACCGCGGGGCAGATGGCTCGAGTGCCGAAGGCAATGAATAAGAAGAGATCCGCGGATGAGGCGTTTCGAGCGGAACTAAATGGATGGATTCGCGAAGGCAATCCTTCGGGTCTGCGCGATGGGCCCGCTGGCAGCTGGCAGCCACGCGTAGTGGATGAGAACAAGCTTCTGATCGAAGGGGCTGAGTTTCTACCTTCAATGGATATCCAGGAGCACCTTGCAGAGGTTTTCTTTGACTGCGTATACGGCCAGTCGTATCTGTTGCTGCACAAGCCAAGTTTTATACGGCGCTTGAAGGCCAAGGCTGTTCCTCCGGTGCTGACGTTGGCTATCTGTGCTGTAGCAGCACGCTTCTCAACCCATCCCCTAATTAGCACGGAGCCTGCATTCTTACGGGGTGAAAACTGGGCTGATGCGGCAGCTACAATTGCTTTAAGCCGGCATGACCAACCGAACATCACGATCTTGACGGTGTTTCTGATACTTGGACTTCACGAATTTGGTGCTTGCCACGGTGGCCGAAGCTGGTCGTTTGGTGGTCAAGCGCTGCGAATGGCATATGCCCTACAGCTTCATCAGGAACTGGACCATGATCCTCTCGGTAACAATGCGGGTCATTCACAGCTCAGCTTTACGGACCGGGAAATCCGACGACGGACGATGTGGGCGTGCGTTTTGATGGATCGGTACAATTCTTCTGGTAGCCAACGCCCGCCGATTGGAAATGAGAAATATTTGCAAATTCAACTACCAATTAAGGAATCACACTTTCAAATGGAGATCCCGGGGCCTACCGAGAATCTAGACGGATCCGTTCCCAACCCAGTACCTGAAGGAATTGGACAACTTTTCAATCCGAAAGAGAACATGGGCGTCTCGGCGTATATAATCCGGGGAGTAATGCTATGGGGTCGGATCGTGGACTACCTTAACCTTGGAGGAAAGCTGAAAGATCCACATCCGTTATGGTCCCCAGAGTCCGGCTATGCTGGCTTGAAAAGACAAATTGAGGAGTTTTCTGCGTCCTTGCCAAACTCTCTCGGTTTTACCCTGGAAAACCTCCGAAACCACGGGGCTGAGAAGATTGGGAACCAGTTTCTGTTTTTGCATATCATCATTCATCAAAACATACTCTTTTTGAACCGATTTGCTATACCACTGTCCCCTGGAGGGCGCCCACCTAAAGATATACCAAAACCGTTTTTGAGTGATGCTGGTCGAGCGGCAGTTGAAGCCGCTGGCCACATTTCGACGTTGATCAGCCAAGCATCTGGCTATATGCTAACTGTTCCGTTTGCTGGCTATTGCGCGTATGCCGCGAGTACAGTGCATATATGGGGGATTTTCTCCAAAAATGAACAGCTTGAAAAGACGTCCAAGGAGAACCTGCGGCATACCTACAGGTACCTAAATAGGATGAAGCAGTATTGGGGCATGTTTCATTATATGGTTGAGAGCGCAAAGGATCGATATCGCCAGTTTGCCGATGCTGCGATCAAAGGCCCGACAATAAGTACGGAGGAAGATTCAACCATGTTCCAATATGGCGATTGGTTTGATAAATACCCCCATGGGCGTTTCACGATTGCACTGGGAGGATCCTAGCCCCGAGGTGAAGAGCGAGCAAGGCGGGGACGCAGTTATGGGCCAAAGATCTGATCTCGAGAGCGTGGAAGAATTCTTCGCAAGTTTGTCTCCCCAATCGCAGGTTGATCAACCCCGTAAAGAAATGAAGAGACGTGGCACAAGTGCTGCAGAGAAATCCCGGCGTACCACAGCTGGAAAGGATTCGAGGGCGCGATTCGAGACAACGGGCACTCCAGCCCAGGCTCAACTATCGCCGCAAAGAGACGCGCAACCGCCAGCGTTGGATACCAACCCCCAACCTCCTCTACCCCATGATGCTTCACAGTTTCCTAGTTCAGTCGTCTTCACTCCGACTGAACCACCCGATTTCAATCATTCAACGTTCAAATACCCTTTAAGCTCCGACCTCCCCCACCTCGACCGCCAACTTGTTTACGGCGCCTACTCAGGCATCGCTCCCAATCACACAACCGGCCCTTTCAGTTCTATGACAACCGCCAGCGGCCATCACAACTCTACGCTTCGTTCAACAAGCACAGTTGCAGGGCTCGATCAAACTGAAGACAACGGCAACTCGTTCTGGAATATGCCGCTTGATATTCCCGGCGACGGTACGGGTTGGCCTACCGCATCGGTACAGCCTAGCGCATGGTTTCTACCGTTTAACCTTGAGCCAATCGGCGCTGGTGAATTTGATATCTCTGAAGCCACTGCCGCAGTGTCAGGGCCCCAACAAAATTCTAGGCCCGGCGGGATGTCAGTAAATAACCCTTCATATTTCCGAGATCCTGGGGTCTTCCACGGCTATGGTCTTAATTTAGGAACTGGAGACCCCCGGGATCCAGGAGGCGGGCCTGCAGGAAGCGGTGGAGGGCCAAGGTAGCGAATGGACCTCCATGGTATTGCCTTGTATGTTGACCATGTGCATACGTTTTCCAGCGCACCAGCGGATGCGGCGTTTTCTCTTTCTTTTGCATTTTCCAGGGAAAAAAAGTCAAGCGACATTTTGGTGGCGTATAGCTTGTCGTGATTTTGCCCGCACCATTAGCCTTCTTCACTAAACTTAGCCCTTGGGATACCTCTACGCGATATCGGGGTTCTTTGTATTATTTTTATCTTTCTTTCTTATTCAACTTTCTCCTGGGCATAGCCTAGACGGTATTTCTTCTTTTTTCTATGCATAATTGGATTTTCCAACACGCTCTCGATTCCCGGGGCCCAATTGCGATGTTTGCAGAACGGTTTCGTAAACCAGTCATCTCTACTGGCTCAGCTTGTCGGGAGTGTATTCAGCATTCGCCCGGAATCGAGGGTTTAGCCCACTGAAATTTGTGAATGATAAAAAACGAACGGTGCTGGTCATCGTAGACTGGTTCTTAAAATTGGAAACGACCCGAGTATGTCATTCGGCGTGAAATATCAAGCGCCTGTTTTATCGTGCTTGCTTTTCTGTATGATGCTTCGCCGTTTCCACATCTTATAGTCAAATTACTATAATACACTTACTGCCATGAGACAGCAAGCTTCATATACAAAAGTCGTATCTACATACATAGGTATCCGCATATCTCCGGTAACGCTTTGTAAAGCATATTTGGCCATAACTGCCAAAACAAGAAGGGTAAAAATCCGCATGTAAACCGTATATACAAGAGAAAAAAAGGAGATTAATCATCCCACTCCTCGTCTAATTGATCAATCAGTCTATTCTCCTCGTCAACATCAGACCGTCTTCCGCGACCAGAATTCCCATTGGCCCCTCCCCTCCCACCAATGGCACCGACGAGCCCGCGACGATTGGAGTTACCGTTGCTTTGTCCCACAGAAAGTCGCGAATAGCCTGGGGATTTGAAACAGCTCAAAATGGAAGAAAAAGCGATTATCGTCATGTCCTATAAAGTTTGGTCAGTTCAGGGGTCGAATAAAGGCGAGCAAGGGTTGAAAGTTTGATGGGCCAGGAGGCAGCTTGGCAGTGAAGGGGTATTATCAGAAGCAACAAGACATCGAAAATGATCCAGGTACTTTGAGAAATTATTTCAAATCAATTTCGCATTGTGGGATGAATCCAAAGGGATTCAGTTGAGCAGCAATATATAAGCGAACACGATGATAAAGGTAAGGTAGCCGGATCATCAAAAGAAACCAAAGTAAATCCAAATGAATGCCAAAAGTGATAAATATCTTCTGCAAAAGGGTGTTGGATAGGAACATGAAGTGAAATGCATTGCATTAATCAAGTCGGGAGGAGGGTAGACTAAGTGTAGACCGGCTGCCAGCTGAGTCGTAGTTGGATAATACCCTGTCTTGATATCGGGAAAAGGTGAATAACGAACAAACGGACAGAACACTTACCTTTATAAATCCAAGCATGTTATTCCACATCGCAAAATTCGGGCATTGCCTCCATCCTCTCTGGTGCATGACCGTCCGTTGGTATGCACAGCCACCAATCATATATGCAGCAATAGCGATTCCCACACTAGATGAAAGTATTAGTGACCGAAAATTCTTCTGCTGGGACCATGAGTTTCGACATACATGATACCGAAAACTCCAGCGGGGCCAACCCCGCCGTCCGTGCTCGCGGCTACGCCTCCACAAGCTGCAGCGCTTCTAACTTCAAAAACGTAGGTGCACGAGTCTGGCGAGCCGACAAAGGATACGGCCGCGGCCGGGTTGACGAGGTCACGATCACAAAGGAAGGATATTAAAGTCGATTTCCTTCTCAAGTTTTTCGTATCTGGTTTCTTATCCTTACCCTCGTCATCGTCATCTTCATGGTCCTTGTCGTCATCGTCATCCTGGTCATGCTCTCTGGCTTCTCTGGACAATAGTTTCCGCTTATGATGATTTTGATCCGGTGTTGTCGGACATGGAGAACCATCCGTATAGTTCAAAACCAGTTTGCGGCCGCGAAAGATTAAATCGGATGCTTGTTGCCTAGGTATTCAAAGGTTAACACTTGAGCTCGATGAAACCTAGGAGTATTGCCACATACCCAATTGAAAAAGTCTTCCCATCCATCCTGTAGAATGCGCTGACATTTTGCCATCTTTCTCTATCCAGTCCCTCCACGTCCTCCAATTTCTCAATTACCGGCGCACAAATATTCAGGGTGAAATTGGTGCCGTAATCGTAGCCTCTTGAATGCCAGCTATCATCCCTATCACCAGGCCGAACTTTCTTTCCATCCTTCTCTTCCGGGGGGAGCAACGATATGGTGTTGAGATCAAAGTAGGCACCCGTATTTGGGGAATGGATAGTGCAGGGTTTAAGCTTCGCGTCCGGGCTGTCATCGGCAGCGACACATAACGGCGAGTTGAGAAAAGCGAATGGAAATAGACAGGCTATAGCTCCAGCTTTGCTAATATGCATGACAGGTGATCGATGGAAAGGGGTGGTTCTCAATGTCCAATAACGGCGCGCGGATCAGGACACAGGGGCAACCTCGTCCAACTTAACGAGCGACTTGAACGGGAAATACTTGAGGGAACGATGAAGACTTCACAGAAACCAGTTTAACACTGTTGCGTCTGAAAAGTATTAACAACTGAATCTACCCAAGAGCAAAAGACGCCAGTGAATGAACAGTGCCTGCTGTCATGGATTCCGCCTGGTGAAGCTGTTCAAACGCGGA